AAGGCCTGACCCAACGGGCGTGCGCCGTGCTCGACCAAAAGCCGCATGATGTCCTCCAAGCAGGATACGCTTTGAGGATCCAATGCTTCGTGCGGGATTTGCCCTGCGGCCAAGCCCTGGGTTTAAGCAGTTTGGGATTCAAGGATTTTTGGACTGGGACGGTTGAATTCACTGGCCTACATGGAACTTGAAGTGGGGAGTTTAGGATGTGTGTTGAAGATTGGGGCTTTGGACTTCAAGTTCAGAGAGCTGTGGCCTGGGAGTTCTGGACAAGCCGCTGTATAGGATCGTAGACAAAGATCGACGACATTGCTGACAGGATGTAGACAGATTAGGCTGAGTTAGGGCGTGTTTAGTCATGTTTGGCTGGAGGCATGGAATCGAAATAGGGGTTGACCCTTTGCCTAACGAATCCCGAACTTCTAGGCTCCCAACGCAGATGCCCAAAGCCCTTCAGGTGCAACGTACAGCCACCTAAAATGCGGCGATTGACTCTGCAGCGCAGAGTGTCCAGTAGCCTGCACAACCCCAACACTGCATATTCCCTAAACCCCTAAGTCTAGGAGCCCCTCAATCCTAAACTACATGTTGCATACCTAGACCACCAGGCCCTAACCTAACCATCCCCAAAACCGCAGCCGCTGGGCACCCAATGCTCGGAATGGCAGCCAGTCCCTACATATCCCCGGTTCCAAAGAGAAACCTTTCTTTTGTATGCTTATCAAGCTTTTCAACTACCTTTGTGTGCTCTACCGTGGATTCCTTAACGCTAAATAAAGAAGAACAATTCCACTGCACTAGAGTCCAGAGTCTATTCTTGAATGCAGCCTGGATACGAACCCGAAGCCCGAAGCCATCAACCTGACACCCTAAACCCGTAAGCAATCAACTTGAACCCCTGACCCCAGAACCCTGGACTCTAACCCTCATAGACCCTATCGACCCTCAAACTTCGACGACACCCTAAGCGGCAACTACCTCTCCTGGTGGCCTCGCTTGGAAGCGATCCTGACTACTCCCAGAGTAAATCAAGATTTAGGTTTCCGAAGCTAGATCAACCCCCCCAAGTTTTGGGGGTCCCTGGAGGGGTATTGGGGTTATACACGGACACGGGTACTTATGGTTGTTATTCCTGTTGGTAGGTTGTTCCACGAAGATAGTCGTTTGGCATGCTGGAATAAACCCTAAAGTGCTGTTTCTCATTCCGTGTGTAAAGCAAGCAGCGGCAATGTGTATTGGAAGCTGAGGCAGTTGCGATAATGACCCAGCAAATGTCAGCTGGCCCAGCGCGTCTGGGGTTGTTGGCTAGGCTACCCAAGACGGCGCAACGTTTTTTCATGTACCCCTGGCTCCTCAACGTGAATTCACTGACTTTATGCCTGAAAGAGGTTTCGAGCCCATTGAACTAAAGTTGACCCCCGATAAACAAGCTGACTTGAGGAGGCAGGTTGTGCACTCCGCACCCACCCAGACTGTAAGATCCAGAACAGGACAGCCGGACGCAAACGTCAAAAAAGAATTCACGGCTTGAACTGATCACTTTCATAGAACACTGAAACCCTGCCCCCAAACAGCAACCATGCGTACTCTGAGCACTTGCTGCAAGGAGTGTGTGACGCATTGCAAGCCTAGATGCAGTACGTACATCCTATATACGCCCTACGTCCTGAACTCCATACAGGAAGCCTTCTATAAACTGCAAAATCCGGAAAAATGCTTTTAACGACCTCAACGGCCTTCAAACCAGTTGTTCTTAACAACATGTCGCTTTCTTGGGCAATTCATGCGGGTTCTTAGAGGCTTACACACATCTAGGGCTTCAGGTTTTATTTGCGGATGTTTGCGGAATACGCTGGCGTCATGAAGAGGCAGCGCTTATATGGCTTCTAAGCTCCATCCTGAACCACAAACTTGCAATCTACCAAGTATCCGGAGTGGAATGTAGGGCAGCCAGCAGCAGTAGATCGATAACTCCCTGTCTGCTCCAGCCTTCTAGGGCCGAGGGTTTGCGAGTGACAGCGCTTTTCAAATTCTTGTACCGTAGCGAATGGAATCACAAAGGACTTACATTTGACAAGGTGATGCTCATTGTGTGTTCAAAGCCTCATGCTTTATTGACATGAACCTGGACAATGATTCCTGTCTTTCTTTCGCCGTTGTGATTTGCAGTAATTGCTCTCGAATGACGACCCTGAACGTCCTCCTTACCCCTTGAACTGTCAAAGATTTCGGACTGAGGCTTTTGGGTGAACGCGTGCCCCGACTGGAAAGCCCCAAAGTTTGAACCCCACATTTGCAGCTTCAAACCATGCTGAGAATGCAGGAAATATTGCGCCACCTTGCATACCTATACATTCCTCTACCCCAGGAACACTCCAGTAAGTATGCAGTATGCTCCGTTAGGAGTCCCACGTAATGCGAAATTTCCTCCACACAACGTGTCTTGTGCCGGCCTCCAGGAGCAGCCGTGCCACCTCCAGGTGATTCCTCGGCATACGCAGCAGGCACTTCAGTGTCTGGGGGCTTCAGCATTGCTACTTACCCGTAGTCCAAACATTCAAACATGTGGTGGCCGGATGCCTTCCGTGTACCACTTGCATCCGTGGATTCAGAGATAGAGGGGTCTAAGCTCATTGTCCATGGCAAAACTGCAATAGCATCCGTCCAACATGGGAAGTACCCAACGCAACGAGGTCCTGGACAGGGGCACCGGACTGTACTTTGAAGACAGAATCCCACACCCTGGACCTGGAATCCAAATCCCAAAGCCCACGGCCCAAAACTCGAAACCCTACGGCCTCAAGCCTGGATCCTTGGCCCCAAACAGCCTCAAATCCCAAAATACATAGCAGATAAGCCCGAAGTCCTGAAATGCTAGTGTCCTACCTTTTGACCTCGTCAGGCTTCAGGGTCTAGGAAATTTGAATCCACGCAGACCCCAAATCAAAGCCCCCTACCCAACACAAAAATTCTGAACCTCCAACCTGAGATTTCATCACAACTTCCCAAGTCAAAGGCACCACACCCCAAACCCTAGATACCCAAACAAACCCAGGCCCTACGGTGAACCCCTGCAAGGCCCTGCAACCCAGAAAGCAACACTCTCGACGCCTTTTTTCCAGAACATTTAACTGGCCCCGCTGCTCGTAGCAGGCGAGGCCCAGCGGCGAAGCGCTGGGCACCCCGAAGTGGAACCTGAATTCTGCCACTGACTTCTGCGGTGTGGGTCTCAGCCGGTTTCACGTTGAAGTTCAACGGTCAGGGTTGGGGTTCAGCACTTTTAGGATTCAGGGCTCACGGCTCATTTGTTGTTCATCTTTAGGTAGCGTTAGGCAGTGCATGTAGACCCCCAAAAGGAATTATGTTGGAGCTGCACATCTAAATAAGACGAGGCAGATCTGCGGGCTTTAGGGTTTTGTGATCGCCCCGCCATGCCCTGATCATCCTAATTTGTGCTTCAGGTCTCTGAGTGTGACACGCTTTTTCGGAAGAAAGCCCAAGAAGCGGGACTAGAGCAAGCGCATGTTCGCTGAAAGGATGAGCTTTTTAGAGCGGCGATAGAAGTGCTGGGACCCATGCGGGGTGGCTTTAAGGCGGGGTTTGTGGTTTGTTTTGTCAAGGCACTCGCTTCAAAACGTGCATTCAAGGTACAGTGACTGCTTTGGAAACCAAACCCTAAACCTCGAACCCAGAACCCTAAAGGCTTTAAACATGAACCAACCTGAACCCTGAATCCTGAACTGTAAGCCGCAAACCCCAGATAAATCTTAACCCGATCCCAAAACCCGCAGCAAGACTCCTACTTCAAAAGGCAGATATGTTCAATCCTTTAAAACCTTACCCTAGGACCTTTTCCGAAGTAAGCTGTGGAGCTCTCCGTGATCTTGATCTGCTTCGGCCTGCGTTGAAAGATGATTTGTGTATTGTTGGGCCCGGAGATCTCCAAACTTGGCTTCAGTAGCGTGTGAAGTTGACAGTGGAAAAGGTTTTGGTTTGGTCTGGGGCTGTGAGGTTGAGGTCTGTTAATGCAAACATGGGGTTGCCCAAGCAATTGCCACTGGATCTGGGCTTGAAGCATGTGAACCCTTGGTTCTATAGGGTAGGGCTTGGACAAAAAGGGCCGAAGACAAAACAAAACCAAAAGGAATCACACAGAAAAGCACACATGGCAGAATGAAACAAGAAACAATCGCAACAATCGCAGTCAACAAAAGTGTGAAAACCTTGCCCCTCAGAAAACAGCAGCAAAGATCATCAACTCAAAAAGTCAGAAGCAAATCATGCTACAATAAATTGTAGCAACAAACAAGCAGCAAAGCGGACCTCTGTTTTTTGGAAGCCCCCAACACCAACGGATAAAGCTTAGGAAACTTATACGTAGGTATAGACAGACTGATAGATAGATAGATAGATAGATAGGTAGATATTTAACTATCGTATTTATATGCATCTTATCTATACCACCCACTTAAAGGGAAATCGCATTCCTGCAAAACCTGGAACATCATTCGAGCAAATGCCAGAGGCCACCTGCCATGACAAAAGGCCAAGAGTCACACGCAGTCATAGTACGGGATACCAAAAGGCCTACAGGTTCATGGTAACAAACTAGATGGAGTTTAGATGCGGAGCATTCGGGTCTGAGCACCCTTGCATTCAACGTTTTGCCACGCATGTACTGTATAACTACCTTGAAGTTTCAAGTAGACAACACAAGAGTCACTGCGTGAAAAAGAAGAAGGCCCAACGTCCGTGGGTCAGCCTCGACACCGTGAGTATAAAGTCCGCACCCGAGAACCCTGCACATCTTCCCACCGTCTCATACCCCCTGCATCGCTCAAACCCTTCAATACACCCGAAACCCGACTCCCTTGGACCCAAAACTTTTAAATCCCTAACCAACGATCCCGAACGAACTAACCCACCTTCCGAAAACAGTAGACCCAAAAAACTCTAACCCAAATTTCAGCTCAATCCTTGACCTCTGCCCTCCAGTCCGCCTCAAGGAGCAGCTGCACGGCCTCCGTTTTCCCCTCCCGCGCCGCAAGGCCCAGAGGCGACAAACGCAAGCCGAAGCGGATCAGCCCAGCATCCTGGAGCCAAGTAACCATATTTATTGGGGTTACATAGGGATAATGGAAAAGAACATGAAAACTACTATTTTGCTGTCTAGCTCTCCCTACAAACACCCCACGAAGTAACCGCTTCCATGTTGCTTTGGGGGAGTTTGTAGCAAGAAACCACTGGGCTGAGGCAGCGCCGGCAGCCCTAACTGGCTCTTTTGGGGTTTTGTGGGCTTTGTTGCGGCATACAGCCTGGTTTCTTAGAGACCTTAATCAGCCCGCATTGCTACATGAAGGCTGTTGAGGTAGTAGCTAACATGCAAGAGCAGTGAATATTTCATAGCAGAAGGTTGGCTGCATTCATTATAGAGGCAGGTCGGCCTTGCGGATGCAAGTCTTGTATACTGAACTACCGTATTTTGCAGGGATTAGGGTAAGTACTCACTTTCGTGCAAAACTTTTGGCAACAAGATCATTGATTTTTTTTTTGGACCCTTCTGCCTCAAATTTATGCGCGTATGTATGAATGTAAAAGAAGAGCGTGCCTTCAGGTGTAACATGTTTTCTGCTTGCCTGCAACTGATCCCTTTCTGCAGTGACTTGCTGAGGAATGAGCGTGCACCAAGAAAAGCACTTAGGCTTCTACAACAATGTAGTTGTTGCGGGGAGCATACTAACCGGAAACCCGATGAGTCCTAAAACCTGACATATAATCTCAACTGCAATATTTCCAGACAAAGGGCCATTCGGCCTCCCCTCTATTGAAACCACAATGTGTGGAGAGGTCGGCTGCCATCGCCGAAAATTGCCCAGCACCCAATACTAAACCCCTCAAGACTCAAGACACGGGTCCTTGTCGGCCCTCGACCTGGGTTCATGTTAATAACTCGCTTTCTGGCCGAACCAGGTAAGAAGAAATTCTTCTTACGAAGTATCTTGAGACCTGTAGATTAACTATTGGGATTTTGAAATTCAAAGTTGAACATTTTTTCGAGGAAATATTTTGGAAGCTAACGTTCGAACGGGTCGTGATGCATGCTGCTGTGGCTTTACGGTCTAGCATTCGACACCATGTCTGTACAACTTGCGAGTGAAGACTGTTAAGCCATGTGCTTTGTCCGAACTCCAAGTTTGTGTACCCTGAATCCTGAACCATCAAACTTTGTACGGAATGTAAAAGCTGGCACGTCGAAGTTCCGCCACACTAAACCCTGAACCGCCTGTGAGTTTATCCCGAGCAACACTTCTATCACGTTCTTGGCAGCTAACGTGGAACCGCTGCAAACGGTGCAGAGGGTCTCAATATCATGCTGACGGTTCCTGTAAGGATCATAAGAATTCAGGTCCATTCAGGTGCAATTTGGGCAAAGGCAAGGTTAAGCCGCATAACATTTGGCCTGAAGCCGAAACTCTGCAATCGAACCCTTGGCAGCTCTTTCTACACAGGGAACTCCTGGTCCCGAGAAAAATCTTGCTTAGTAGGACAGGACTCGCATCGAACATGCCTCCCCGAACAAAGCCTTGCAGCGAGTGATAGGTGCTTGGTAACAAAACGATAACCGACTACCTATATCCCAACGGCCCAGTTGCTGTAGCAGCAAGCGCACGACATCGACTTGACCGTTCCTGACTTTGATGAAGGGCCTATACAGAATAGAGAGTTCGGAGGCTGACGGTTTAGGGAATGACTTCGAGGGCCCCTGACCCTACACCACTCGGCTTAAACTTGAGGGCTACAGGGCTTGCGAGGAAATTCAGCTTGGACCAAAATTTACACCAATCAGTGTGTAACTGCATATGTAAGCATTTGAAAGAAGCTGTTTCCCATTTGCTCCATGAACCCTGGGTGCGTTGCGCCCAACTCCAAATCCTCCAAGCTTCAGCAGGAATCCAGTTGACATGAGCGCTTTCAAATTAGAATACGTATCATCATAGAACCCACACACCATTATTGCAATAACCTGATATCCCCTCATGGTCCTGAAACACTTTTTTGGAAGAACCATGATGAGACCCCATATGGTATCTTTTCAAACTACCCTTTAACAAATCGTGAAGGGAGACCTCAACATGTCAACAAGCTTGTTTTGAACTCCTACATATCCCAGCGCTCCAGGACGTCCCGGCTTCTAGCAGTGGAGTGGAGAGGGAACGAAAGGGGAGGGGGGAGAGGAGGCGGGAGGGGGACGGGAGGGGAGACCCGAAGATCTGATCTAAACAAAGAACGGCATCATCCCTGGCCAAGGATCAAGCAATGAATGACAACAACACAAAGCAAGCAAGCAACACCCGGATCCATCCCGACATCCCGACAGCGCTGTTCTATCAGCTAGTTGCAACAAAAACTCGCACCCGAGTGAGAACTTGATCCATCCCGACAGGTCCCGTCAGCTCATTGCAACCACATCCACGCACTCCAGGCGCGGACGGGATCCATCGCGACAACTGTTCTATCAGCTCGCTGCACCAATTAATTACTTCGCTCTCCGGGCGCGAACCCCGATCCTTCCCGACAGCTGTCCCGTCAGTTCTTGAGAACAGTTACTGCGCATTGAGACACGGACATGGATAAATTCCGACAGCTGTTGCATCGGCCCATTGCGACAACAGCCGCGTACTCCGGGCACGGATCGGGATGCATCCCGACAGTAGCAGTAGCACCTTTGCCATCCAGCCGGAGAAAATTCCAAATCCTCACAAGCACTTTCGCCACGCTGTGAACCCCACGCCTATTTACTGGGCGCTCTTGGGTCTGAAAACGAGGTCCCAGACCTTAGCGCTGCCCCTAAGGTCCAAGCAAGCGCGCCGGCGAAGAGGAAAAGCCACACTCAGCAATGTTCCTGAGATACCCTATCTACATCCACTAAGAACTACAGCAGTGCACCCCAAGTCCTTGACCCTAATCCCTAACCCAGACTCCTTTTAATCACTGAACCTGAACAAACTTAGCCATATCCAGCTGGAGGCTCATGGCGGCCAAGGCTAATGGCGTCGCCTTTGCCTTCACAGTGAAGATTAGCTCATCCACCTCTGCTTTGTGGATGTGTTTTAATAATGCTTTTGAATGATCCAGCATGCAAGACTACCTCCTCCTTGGGAAATACTAAGTACAACCCAGGAGGGAACATAATCTTACCCTAAAGTGGGCTTCGCGGAAAGCCTGTACGAAAGCTTAATATTCGACTGATGCAGGTTCAGGTCTTAGGGTTCAACAGTCTTGGGGAAATCATCCCCACCGGCCAATAATGGTATTCCACACGATAAATCTGCCTGTCGCGAATCTAGTGCAGTTACGTACTCCAGGATTATTCATCGATAAAGGGGGTGGGCCATTTGAGGTGTCCCTACAAGCAGGACTCTTGCCATATTCTCAGTACAGAAGGGGCCTTTTTTTTTCCAGAGATACCTTTGCAGCCTGTGGAGAGGTTCCTGTCTCCAGGTCTTTGGCTGATTCTCCAGATTTGGGTCATCATGTACCCTCAAAGTGTAGAATCATCTCTCACACGTTTCCAGGTATGTTTCAAAAAGCCGACTTTGGTTTCGGCGCATGTATCAGGGTATGTATCAGGCCAGAATTCGGTTGATGTCTCCGCGTGGTCAAATGTCGCTCTTCACTTACGTTCTTGACACTAAAACTTGCGGAAAGGAGCATATCTTCCGACAGAACCCATCCAGGCAAACAGCAAAGCCACAATCAAAGCACGTAATGACTATCTACCTCATGGAGCTCAAGAACAAAAACTACAGACACACATCTTAGCCTTCACGCAAGTTGGCTCCCTCTCCCTTGTGGAGTCGCCTTGTCCACGTCAGCCCGTGCCTCCAGCAACAGCGCCGCGACCTCCACGGAATGTCCAGTGCCCGTCCGGGGCTTTCAAGCTGGGGATTTTGGGTTAAGCGGTTCGGGTCCAACTAGCTCAGAGCTGCGGATTTCGGGTTTAGTTAGGGCTCCTTGCTCGCCGAATACTCGGTCATCAAGGAGTATATATGCCAAAACGACGAGAACACAGGTATAGTTGTATGCTGTACTGGAAATTCCTGACCCTCGCAGCCCCAAATAATTCGCTTTGTACAAAGTAATGTGGGACCCTCTTTAATAAGTAGGACCCCCTCTCCCCCCTAACATTAGGGCCCTCCGAAAAATGGAAATTAGGGATCCTCAATACGGTCCCTCAAAACCTCCCGTGATTCTGAGCGCTCTGGGGATTGATTTACAAGGGGATGGTCTTGGCCCCGCTCTAAAAGCTGATTTGCAAAAGGATTTTTAAAGGCATGCCTTGTAAAATCCTTTAAGGCATCAAAACTTACAGAGGCCCAGGGCTGCCAGATTTAAGAGGACCTTAGAGGATCCAGGGCCTGCAAGACTACCCTATTTGCCCAAATGACTACGGCTAAGAATTCTAAGGTTTTGAAAAAGGTTCTGTACATAAAATTGGTGGGCTGCAGGTTTAGGATTTGGTATCTGGGCGCTGGATCTAAAGCTCTAAAGGCTGTGTTGGAAAAGGATTTTCAAAGGCATGCCTTCTAAAACTAAAGAGGAATGAACACTTTCCTATGTTTTTAAGCCCCTAAAATCAAAACACGCTATAGGAGGCCTTGCAATCATTGCCCTCAAAACTCATTATAGGGGACCCTTCCAATACGGGAAGTCCAACTTTAAACTGGTTGGATGAGTCGGATGACACGGCTGCATGTATAGAAATTGTGCCAAAGCCCAGTACCTGTTGAGGAACCACTGGCCGCTCCAAGCACTGCAGGAAGCACTTCCGAGCTTCTTCTTCAATTCGATCTACCATTTCCAAACCTTAGGAACGTCGATAGTCGGTTACCTCCGTGGAGGAACCACAGTGACGCCCCAAACCCGAAACCTGCCCCCAAGTCCAAACTCCAAAGCCCGCGTGGATGCTTCCAAGCAGTTAGGGGTCCCCTGTTTGGGGGCTGTAGCAATGTGAATTCGCGATATGTCGAGGTTCGTAAATGGCGTCCACAACAAGCCTCCACATGGCCGGCGCTTGATGCCAATCCGAGGGGGGTTGTTCGCTCTGGACCCACATCCGAAACTTCATCCTCCGGCTTCACAAGATTTTCTGTGGGGGCTTCGCGAAATATGGGGGATCTCAAGGTCTTGGGAGTCGGGATTGGCGGTTCGCGATTGGGGTTCAAGGGATTGGGGTTAGCAGATTCGAGGGCTCAGTCATGCGGAGACACTTGCAACCAGCATGCAAGGAGAGCTGCAGGACTGGGGATTGTACCAGTCACTTGTCTTTGAACCATACCACGGTCTTATAGTATTCAGCCGATAACCAGGATACCAGCAACATTCCTTTCATACTTTCCTTGCGATTGGAAGTTAGGGCTTGGGGCCGACAGGCTTTTTAGCAGTCTATTCAATATGCAGTTTTGCAAACTCATGCTATGCGCAGGTGCCAGCGTGGAAGCAAGAGATTGGTTCAGAGGTGGCTTGTGGGCTGCTACTTTCTGACAGATAAGGGACACTGAGCGAAGGTTTATGGATATTGATTGCATATGATGCTGGATGGGAAATGAAACCGGCCTATTCGATTTCAAGATCTTCAAGGCGTACTTTAGACGTCCGAATTAGGGTTAAGTGTCCCACGGATCAGCTTCAAAGGTTGAAAGGTGCTGGCCTGAGCTACAGCACGCTACCGCCAAATTCCCAAACCGTGTGCTTTGGTTGGGGTGCGTGCAGGATTGCTGCGCTAAAGCACAGACGCAGCAAACCTACATCGCATGCAATACAGTTCGGGGTCTATATGGCATAGGCTACACGCCAGACACCAACACCGCTTCCGTCCCGAAACGAAGACTAAACGCAGCTTACCCTATTGTGGGGGTCATGGTGCTGTAAATGCTCAGTCCTGTACCTGAAAGGTTTTGGAAGTGAAGGGCGGAGGCAGCAACAAATCACACCTCGCCATACCATGGGGCTCAGACTTCAAGTAATACTAGGTGCTGCTAAGCCCTGTAGTACAATGTACATATCCACGACATCATGTTCAGGGACTAGTCCCTGCGACTTGTGAGATGCCATGCTGAAAGGCATTAAGTACCTAGACCGCCCCAAACACTCAAAAGCACCTAAACGCCTGAGAGCTCGAACAAATTCTACCTAAAATGCGGTGAGCCTTCAGACCTTCTCAAAGCCCTTGATTTTCTATAACGTAAAAGCATCAAAATGCCCTGAGCCTTCAACGTTCTTAACACTCCATACATTAGCGATGCGCCCAACACTGATCATAGCGGTTATAGTGGTGTAGGAAATGGTGGAGCCCAAGCACAACAAAACGAAACCCAGGCGACTCAGTCCTTGTCCGCCTTAGCCTCAAGAAGCTTCTGTACCTGCATCCCGGCCAGAATTGTTCTTCCGTGTAGGGGTTTAATGTTTGGGGCATTAATGTCTAGCGACCAGCTTAAGCTTGCGTATTTTTGGTAGGGTTAAGGGCTTGGGGCTCGGGTTTCAGGGTTCAGGGCTTAATGACAAAGGCTGGGTTTCAGTGTTTGCGGCATGGCGTTTCAGGGTTTGGGCTTTCGAGTTTCAGGATTTAGGGTGCGAGGTTGAGGGTTTTTCAAGGATTGGGTCGACTAGGATGGCAAAGTCTGGGCCTGTCTGTGCACGTTTTATGTTTGCACTTTACCCAGACAGCCGACGTACAAAGGTATTCGGCAAGTCTATGGATCTTGGATACTCGATTATGTGGCGCCCGCTATACGATGCAAGGGTTTTGATACATCCGGTGATTTTGCCCTGGCTTGAAACACCCCGTACAATCAATCCTATACCGATACCTGCTCTGAAAACCCTTTTCTGTATGTCCTGGTGGAATGAGAGGAACCGATCAAACATGACGAGCTTTTGCCAGGTCACCCTACATCCCACATTTCCTTACCTTCCTAAACCTGCACCACCTGGGCAAAGAAGGAAAGCGGCCTTTTGGAGTATTTAATTGCATCGATACCATGAAACCCATACCCCCTAACGCTATGGACAGATCCCGGTCGTTGAGCTCAACAACTCTACGCCCCATTAATGTTAAAGCCCCAAACCCCATACCCTTAACCCGGAACCTGAACGGCAAACCCCAGACCCCGACCAACCCGCCCCATAGGTACAATGTCCAGATGGCCCCTCATAGAGGCGAGGGCCAAAGGGGCCAGAATTCCACCTCCAGCAGGGCTGCCAGAGTTTATGGGGTTTGGGGATTTACTGGGGACTGGCAATTTAGGGTGTAAGCGTTACGAAATGGCTGGAGGGTTGAGGGCGCAACAGTTTAAGAACAAGTTTTTAGGGACTCGGTTATGTCCTAGCCTTAGCGCCAGGAATTCGATCGCGTTACATGCGCTGGATTTTGTCGCCGACCATTGGGGGAAGTTGCATTGCCAGAGAAAAGCCCATTTCCTGAGCAGCATAGCTGAGCTGACTTCCATGCAAGTCGGTAAGGCTCCGCAAGAATCGCAGAGCGCTTTGTTCGCCTGGGCTGCAGAGGTCAGTTCAGGCACGAGGAAGGCGCTGATGAGGTTGTCTTTGCTGCGGTCATCCTTGATGGGAAGGCTAGCCAAAGCCGGACGCGAACCGCGTCAAGGGTTGAGGTTCGCCAATCTGATGGCGACGAGTCTGGGGCAGTTTTCGCTGGGTTCCGATTCTGCACGGCGGCTTTTGGCGCCAGAGTGCATTCTTGTCAGCTAGGGGGCGCAGACGCTCTTCCGATGCCAAGCAACAGACCAAACAGCCTAGCTTTGCTCTAGCATTGTTGACCTCTTCTTTTTGTGCTTGGAGGCGGCAGCCGGAGGCTCTTAGGTCGTCGCTCTCCGGACTCGGGGTTGATAGAGTATGCAGGCTGTAGTACTGCAGAGCTTCTATCTACCGATGGCCACAGACTTGTGCCAGCCAACAAGGGCTTACAGGGAAATCCTCCTTCAGAGGAAAACCATCCTTCAGAGCAAAAGCCCTTGAACACTTTGCCCTTGCAGCGGGTAAAATGACCACACGCGAGCCCAGGCTCCAAAAGGAAGTGGACAAACAACCAACTGTATTTTCCACGTCTATTAACCCAGGAACATGTGCGCAAAAAATGGGTGGTGAGCGCCGCCACTAGATCTGCATCTCCTGCTAGAAGGCCTTATCTTGTCGTTGTATGACCATCCCCTGCATGTACGCAGCTGCGCATGAACCTCCAAGTAGCCAGGGCCTAAGGACCCTTAAGCCGAAATTCCTTAACCCTTAACCGTAAATCTTAAATCGTAGAACCGCAACCCCTGAGATCCAAACCCTAAACCACAAGTAAGGAACGTCCTGACTTGACATTGCTGGAGCCAGTGGCTTACCATAGCTAACTGGAGATCGCCCCCTTAGGTCCGTAGGGCTTAGGGCCTCGGGGCCTTAGATTCGGGTCCTGGGACCTAGCAGGCTTATCAAAATGTTGGACAGCTCCAGGCCTAAGAATATTTTAGGGCCTATTGCAGGGACTACTAGTTTGAGAGCCTTCCAAGTTTGAGAGTGATGTTAAGCTTTCCCCTGTACAATTTAACCTCTGGTTGAAGTGCTCAAAGGCCTGTGCAGCTTGGATTTAGGGGTCTTGTTTGAGGTCTTGAGCTCAGCATCCAAACACAACAAAGCTGTGCACCCTAAACCTATCAACCCCAGCAACCCCATAAACCCCATAAACCCTGTACACCCCTAAACTATCTATGAACCCTTCTTTTAAATCCTCCGCACCCCAAAATCTAGCTGCACCCAAGGCCAGCCTGTGCCTGCTGCTTCGTGGTCAGCGCGCGCTTGCAGGAGTAGAACTGCTGTTTCCGCCCGGCCTCAGAGACAAAGCCAGGGCTTCGGGTTAAAGGTTGAGAGCTTGAGGTTTAAGGTTCAAGCGGAGTTGACTGTTCAGGATGCAGCATTTCCTGTAATTTGAGTCTTCGTTGCTGGGCTCTCTGGTTGGCGGCTAATGACTTAGGATTCAGTGTGTCGTGTTTAGGGTCACTTATGACAAGCTTAGATCCTCGCTAGTTGTCCCCGGCCCGATTCACGTCATGCTGAATATCACCCACTCTCTGAATCCTACAACCCAAAATGAGGGTTTGGAGCCCAATAACAACAACCCGACCAGAGAAAGGCAAATATTGCTTTGGAGCTTTCACATGCGGTCCTGCGTTAGTTTAGCAAGTGTTTAAGGGGTAACTCTTCGTAAACGCTGACACCTATAATTATGCAAGCCGCTCTGAATCCCGAGTTCTGACGGACACCTCTAACACGAATTCCTCAACAAAACCCCTAAAGCCCCAGTTTCAAAGTAGCAGAAACCCCTACACCTAAACATGGAATACTTGAGCCCAAAACCCTTCCCGGGAAAGCCCGCTAAATGCAAAACCTGTAAAATTGCACGCCTTCTTTGGAAGCCATGCCAAGCGCGGTGATTAGGTTGCGCCCATCACCGGAAACCTTGTCCTTTTTCCGATGATTCTTGGTTCGGGTGTTTGAAACTCATGGTTTTGGGTTTGGGGTTTTGGGGTTTCAGGGGCTTCAGGTTGGTTAGGTTGAAGGTACAGAGTGCTGACATCACCCGTGGTGTCCTGTGAGGCTTTGTATCGCAGTACGTATTGTTGGTACCTTGATGCCAACAATTGAAGAGGACATGGGTGCTCATGCTTTCTAGGATGGGCGATTAGATTTTTGAGCCTGTGAGGGAGAGTTGTCAGCGACGCTTGAAGAGACGCCCTGAGCTCGCGGAACGGAACGTGCCCTGCAAAAGAACACTGCCAAAACCCGATCGCTATAAACTATTAAGACCAAATGCTACACCCTGAACCAACACGCTTCCCCTAGATTCTAAAGCTGCATGCCGGCGCTGATCTTTCCTGACGCGTAACGCTGTCTGAATTTGAGCTACGATTACATTATCACATGCAGTCTTGATCACTCTCGCTGCGAGTAAAAGTGCGCCTTGGTTTTCTTATTATGTTAGCTAGAAGACATTTGGTTCTGCTGACGTGTCACCGACCTCGCAGCTGCGCTGTTTGCATGAGGCTTGCTACAATCTCCAATATTTCCGCGTCCCTCTGTGAGTGTAGATGATCATGCTTGGGAGATTCACAGGCAGGGTCTATTATGCGAAAGAACATAAATGATGATTTCAAGTACAGGTCACTGCCGCACCTGAAATACAGCTCTGAACCCTCGGCTGCTCACCTTTACAACCCCTGAATCCGTAGTCATCCCCAAACTCTGAAAGATCTCGTTCTTAAAGCCTAAACCTTGTGAACAATTTCCCTCCCTGAACACCTACATGCTCTGGTCACAAAACTCAACGCTGTCCTTGTCGACCCCCGCTTGCAGAAGAAACCTGACGACATCTAAATGGCCTTGGCTTTGAGACGTTGGGGGTTTCAAAGCCCCCAAACTGGAGCTTAACCCTAAACAGAATTTGGGTTCAAGTTCAGGGATCAAGGTTTTGGAGGCTAGGACTTTGTGATCAGACATGCGGCTCAAGATTTGGGTGCCGGTTTTAAAAGCAATTTATGGCTACTGGATCCCAAACAAACATTAGGCCATTGTTGCAGGAACAACACAACTTAGGGTTTAGGGCTTGATGTTCGACCGCGAGGCCCTGCCCGGCAGCCATGGCAAGGGGGGTCATGGACCAAACACGCTGCGCGGGATCTTCGACTTTGTCCTCGCTCTGGGGGTTTGTCACGGATACTGGGGATGCTAAGGATGAAGTGGGCTGGGGGCTACAAGGGGATAGGGCTTCAGGCGGGCCAATTTCAAGAAATGCCTACATCATATTACCGTTTGCAACATTTGCAGGAAGCGTTACTATTCTGATTGTTGACGCTTCTGGATAGGAGGTTGCCTAGATCACAGTTCCTGAAATTACTAAAGCTCACATGGGGAAACGTCAAACGTTAGGAGCCATGCTCTACTACTTCAGTGAAACCCCTGCCGCCTTTCTGGACCATACATACCCGCATAGTTTGCAAGCCTATATGGGCCACTAGTTAGTAGTCTTCCTGGCTTAGGGATTCCAAGTGTCTTCATCCGAAATTCTGTGAGACAACCCAGGGTAAGCCTGCACTCAAGCCTGAACCCCAAGCTGGATGCTGAGGAGAAGTTACCCAAGGGTCGGGCTTAGGGTTTTGCACCTTTTGAGCAACTTGTCTACCGGCCCTGGAACCCTGGCAAAGCATGATCTTTGTACATGCTGTCTGCTTGGATGAAAGTCCGCAAAATGATGAGACTTGCGTATGCCCCCCGACCCTGGGTTACCGGCTTCCTGAGTCATACAGGCTTCAGAAAGAAGAGTTCCACGCCTTTAAGATTTCACCTTCTGCCCTTGCGGTTTCACGTGCCAAGTTCTTGCTTGCTTTGTCTCTTAAGGCCTAGGGTAGCTTGTGTTTCTTCTGGTGGGTGTGCTCGTTGTCTTTCGTCGACCGATCAATTTCAACTTCGTGCTGTGAATTCAGAAGCCCAAGGACGACAACGGCGTAAGTGGCGATACGCGGGTGATTTTCCACTTTCCTGGGCTCTGTATGACCTCCCACGACATGCCGACTGCTGGGCAACCACGGCAAGACAAACCTTAAGTTCAAAGTGCTGCACCTCAAAATTATTGACAACCAGGTAGAAGCCGCTAGCCTATTGGCAACCCCAAAGGAACGTACAGGTAGTATAGTCACGAAGGAGACTTGTTCATTTCTGCCCACAAACTCTGGAAAACTGCACAGCAATGAAGCAATGGCTGTTGCTACAAACTCTTTATTTAATCCACACAAGTCGTAGCTCAGGAATATGGGAGCCCAAAGAAAGAGTCTGCGGCTTCGGCTTCTGAGTTTGTCTTGGGCAGATACCGCTTGATTGATTGTAGGCCCATAGCACAAGGCATCATACCTACCTGAGGCTTCTTGTAGATTCGGACGTCCTCACCATGATGCCTATTGAAAACTCTACTCCCCAACTCCGAAAGCCCAAAGCCCGCACCATCCAGTCCGCACGCAGGTTCTCTCTCTCTAGAGCGCCGCCTGTGTTTGGGATGCATATAACAACCTGGCGTATAACTACCCACAGACCTGCATTGGCAAGCGCTCCCTGTGAAGCTGCAGACCCTAAAGCCCTGAACCTTAAATACAATCCCGGCGACATGAACCTTGCCTCAATGAATTCGAGGCCTCAAGC